ATATTCTTATTTAAGGTGCATGAAGTAAGGGTGAACAATTAAAAAATGGTTTTAAAATAAAGCTTAAACGATTGTACAAAGATTAAAAAAAAAATCAAAATCAAATTCACTTAAAATCTTCCGAGATAATTATCGGTTCGTGAAAAAAAAAAAAACTCACACCGTATAAATTAATGTTGATAATTTGTCGATAACTTCGTAGCAAGTCATTTGTGACTTTTGAACCAAATTTTTTCTTCCGAGGGGATCTAGAGCCCTTAGTCCGTTTCCTTTGAGCGCTGCTACCGTCCATTTATCGAGCCTATGATAGTTAAAAAAAAACCAAAACTAACCGGTCGTCTTTTCGTCGGAATGATGTCCTTTATAATTTCATTACAATGCACTCGATTGAGTTATTATTTTTGGAAAAAATATTCAAAGGACTGATATTACGTTGTGCACGCGCGTTACGAACGCAAGTTTTTGTTCTTTACTTACGCGCGGGGTACCGAAGAGCTAATACCGGCGCATGTACCGTGGATTTTTTCCGATCGAAAATTGAATAACGCGAAAACGGGTACCCACACCGCCTATAGCGCAGTATTCGTCGTGAATAAAATAATAGATGCCGAAAAAACATAAAAAAAAAAAGGTCAACGGAAGAGATTTATCTCGCCGTTCTCCGCCATCCGTCCGCGTAGTCGTGTGCGTTCACCGCTCGGAATCGAAAAACAAAAAATAATCCGTTTTAAAATCCCCCCGGGGCAATAATCACGTGGATATCAGACGTCCGTGTTCTTTTTTTTTTTTTCTTCTTTAAATGTTATGCACCGTATGTGCGCGTTACGTAGGCGCACATCGCTCCGGCCGAGCGACATTCGACGCTGGTGTGTACTATATTTACGTGCGGGCCGAGAATCGCGTCAAAAGAATTCGTTGATTACTCGACACAAATGTTGTTATAAAATATTATTTTTTTTCTCGTGTCAAATGCACGCGCATGTACGTCACGTCGCGTCTTGCGTTACAGAGCGAGAGACAGAGTGGGAGCGGACGGGAGAGAACGGTAAAAAAAAAAAAAAAAAAAAAACCGTCCGGTACGTTTTTCCGCCACACGTGCGGATACCGAAACGTCGAATTAGCAACGCCCGCCGCCGGTACGCGACGTAATCGTTTTCCCGTACGGAAACGTTTTTTTTTTTTGTCAACAATTAATAATAACGATTCCGCTTTACGTTTCGATTAGAAAAAAAAAATAATAATAATAATTATAATTATTATCGTGTCGTTCGGACGTCCGGCGCGATATTCCGAGCGAGAAACGCGTTTGTAAATCTCGTAACGGTGATGTACGCACGCGTGTAGGGATGACGGTTTCGTCGTGAACGCCGCCGACGTCGGGAGTATCGAAAATTCAAATAAAATCGCCGTCGAAAACCACCGTGATTTCGGAAAACACCGTCAATTTGAAATGTAGAGGAAATAATTGTCCTCTATTGCCGCCGTACGCGCAACTATAGGGGTGGGGGTCTTTAGCACGCCCGAGTTAAAAATTACCTCCTGTCTCTACCCCTCCCCCCCAAAAAAAAAACCCCAATCGACTTTCTCGTAGTAACGAATCAAGGTTTTGATGTCCAGAAAGATTTTTACATCGGTTTTCGTGTGCACGAAACAGTACGCTTGAACGTCAAATTTTTGATTATTTTTTTTTTTAAATTTTATCGCTCTTATTGCAATAATAACGCATCGTTATTGACTTTGGAGGACGCGAAACGTTCGAAACGCGAAACGGAGAATCGAACGAAAATCGCGTTCTGAAGAGCGGGAGTTTTTCGTTCCGTTCGTGTCGTATATCCGTTCGGAGAACACAATTAATGCGGGTAAACGGGTACCGTACGCTCCGTTACATTCGGATAGAGCAGTAACGTTTTGGTTTTTTTTTTTGTCGTTTGTTATTTTCGTTGACGAGCGATTACGATGAAATTCGTAATTTGTTTTAATTGACTGAAAAAATCACCATACGACGTTTACAGAAAAAAAAAAAAAAACGCTTTTAAAACGAAAGTTAATACGTTTTGAAAAATAAAATTTTCCGTATATTATTATATAATAACATCGGCGCTTTTGTGTGCGACACGCTGAATAAATAAACGAAATTTTAACGAATCTTGTTATCCCGTTCGTTGCTGTTACACAACCGTCGACGGCGCCGGCACTAAAAATAACCGCGCCGAACAATGCGCGTGCGGGGCGTGTCCGCTCGCACGTTTGTCCGGGAAAAACTACCGCGTCCCGCGTGTACCGCGCGATCGGTGACGCGGAATCGCCGACGGTCGTCTTTCCGCATCGTACTTCCTTTCCCCTCCCCTCCCCTGCCCGTCACCCGGCTACTGCTACCCACATCACCTCCTCCAACCCCCCCCCCCCCGTATAATCCGTTCGTTGTCAAAAGCGCTCCGGAACAACGAAATTATTCTTCCGCCCGTGCACACACACCGTGTGTACGTCGATCGACGGTTATGTCATACACTTAAATGTTATTGTGTGAAATGCTGTACGAGAACGCGCGACGATTTTTTTTTTTTTTTTTTCCATGCGCGGGCACATGGCGATCGCCACGTCCGGATCGGCACGCGCTTATGGAACCCGCGCGAAAAAAAACGCAAAACGAAAACGGTAAAAAACCCTCAAGGAAAATTTGGCGAAAGTCGAAACCGAGTTTCGATTTGGTTAGAATCTCGGGAAAACGATCGACGCGGAGCAATTAGGTTTTTTTTAACGCGTACGATTTTATCCGAACGAATTGCTTAATGCGTTAATCCTTTCCGTAGCGTTCAGAGTCTAAACTCTAGACAATAAAACCCGATTAGCCATGGCCGTTAGTCGAGCGGGGGCAGGGCTTTTAAACCCCTTTGCCGTTACCTTTTACCCTTTACCCTTATCGTTTATTATTTTTTTTTTTTGGCTTTTTCGCCATTTTTAAGCGCGTTTAAATGATATAATATAATTATGTTAACGCGAGAAACGGTGAGTGCCTATTACAAACGGGGCGATCCGTTTACCACGAACCGGCGATTTTGAAAACGCCTTCAACTAAAAAAACGTATTTACGATTACGAAAAAAAAAAACAAAAATGATAATAACAATAAAAATAAAATTCACTCCGGACGAATTCGCCGGTTCGCGATAAACGCATCGTTCTGTATATAAGATGTTGTTCAGAGAGAGAGAGAGAGAAAAAAAAAAAGGAAAAAATCAAAATTCTCATTCTATGCGTAAACGTAATTTGTCCATGCGTTATTATTATTATTTTTATTATTATAATATATTGTATAGATATTTTATTATTATTACTTTATTTTTTTTTTGCAAACGTTTCGACAACAACAATAAAAAATATACTGTACACCGGAGAAGGAACGGTGGAGAGAGAGAGAGAGAGAGAGAGAGAGAGAGAGAAAAAAACTAACGTGGTGATATTAGAAATTTAATAGCGATGCGAATATGTGTGTGTGTGTGTTTGTGTGTGCATGTATGTGTGTGTAAACGTTTGTGACGCGAATATAGATAAAAAAAAAAAAATAATAATAATAATAAAAAAACTCTTTACACGCGTGTATATAATATTCTTAAACGCAAATTCGAGCACAATATATTCGTAGAATTCGCGACCGTTTCAAAGGGGGAGACGGTTTTGGCGTTCAAGGGGGAAAATGTTCGTTTCGATAATAGCGTTTTTTTTTTTTTTTTGTTTTTCTCCGCGCCGTCTTTTAAACGCGATTTATTTTCCGTCTTGTCTGTACGTATTATTATTATTATTTTATACCTTGACAATTTCAAATATAAAGCCGTATAAATTCCTAGAAGAAACAAAAAAATTCGAAATTTCGGCACGTTCGGTAGCGTCCGGAGAGAATCGAGTCTAGTCTCTGCGGCAATTGAATTTCTTGCGTCGGATTGAAAGGGAATCGATTTCGACGAGTGCCGGAGCACCTATCGAGTATGTAGCTGTATCCGAACGATTCGGTTCGTGCGAACAGCTTCCGGATCCGCGCAAATCCTATTTCGAGAAAATTAAAAAAATGAACTTCCTTGCTCTAAGAGTACACAAAACGAAAAACGACAAATCTGCGGTGCGGCCGCGAACATAATAACCGTAACTCGCGGGTTTCTGTTCTCGCCCGAAACCGCGCGAACACCTCGCCAAAACTCGAAATCCGTCGTTCAATCCGAAAACGTCTCTTTTCGCACGCGTCAAGTCGAATACTCGGTCCCGTCGGCCGGTCGCTTTAATCCGGGTTTTCCCCGTTATCCGGGAGACCAAAAGGCATTCCGGAAAACGATCCCGCCCGAACGCGCACCGAACGCGAATTCGCAACATCCGTTCGCGATTATCCTCGGGAAATAATATTTAATAGTTGTTATCGAACGTTTAACAGCATCGCGCATACGTAATATTGGATGCTGAGCGGACAGAAGAAGCTTATGGTTTTACAATGATATTTATTTAATTATTTTTTTCATTTTTTCTATAGACATCTGTTCTACGAGCAATTTCGCTCCGATTTTCAATGATTTTCACTTTTTCTGGTAGGAAATCCGACTGTGAAGGTCATTTTTTGATTTTCTCGAGAGTATTCACAATAAAATGGAAAAATCAGAAAAAAAAAAACGGGAAAATGTACGAAATGTATTAAATATTATCGAAGAAAATGTTTAATACACAAATGTAATTATTTTACCAAAATATGACGTTTATATTGTTGACAAAGCAACATTATCAACCGAACTCCGCTCGGAATCGTTTTTCCGTTTAGCATTTTCGTTAATCGTGTTGCTTAGTCGCTCACAGATATACATTTAATTCCCGACTCTATTCCACCTTCCCAACAGCCCATCCACAATAGTGGCTGCACCCGTTCCCATTATCTTACTACAACTTTTGTGTTATTATTTTTACTGTGTCCTTGATGGGAAACATTTTTTTTTTCATTTTCTGACAGAAGGCGGCTTTCCTGTGGCCGTCTCCGGAACAACAGGCGCAACAGCAGCAGCAGCAACAGCAGCAGCAGCAGCAACAGCAACAACAGCAACAGCAACAGCAACAGCAGCAGCAGCAGCAGCAGCAGCAGCAGCAACTACAACAGAATAATTTGGCCGTAGGTGGCGGTCAGTCGTTGGGTCCCGGCATCGGCGGTCTCATCAACAACAACAACACCAACAACAACAACAACAACAGCAGCCACCTAAACGGCAACAAGTGTGGCGGCGGTGGAGTTTCCGGGTCGGCCGTCCATCCGCAACATCTACAGCAGCAAGGTGGCGCGGGAGCCGGAGCCGGAGGCACCGGTCTGGTGCACTGGATGTCCATGATGGCCGAGCACATGAACAACGCCGCGGCCACCCATCACCATCACCATCACCCGCATCACCATCACCATCCGGCCGATCCGGCCAACGCCATGCACTACATGTGGAACCCGCCGGCCGTCGACGCGGTGAGTGGTCTTGAGTAGTCTAATTACAATTCTATAATTGTTGTAGTTTTTATTTAGTAGTAAATATATTACAACGCGATTTAATAAAAATTCGTAAAAACGAATTGAAAAAAAAAAAAAAAAAAAGCCACGAAATATGATAATACGGGCGGGCGGGCCGTAGCGTTCCGGTCGAGTTTCGTGACGGCGGAATACCGGTAGGTGGAGGGGAGAAAACGAGAACCCGAACGATTTTAGCGGTGTTTCCCTGAACTACACGGCTGTACGCGACCGAAAAAAACGGTTCATTTTTTTTCGTTTTTTACCGCGTCCGCGGTTTCCGATTTTTTTTACATTATTGTTTTGAACGAGTGCCGTCGTTCTACGACAGATAGCGCTTCGATTTCTGCGTTACCCCGTCCGCGGAAAATCCGTCACGAGGCCCGACCGCGGGGGAAATTGATTCCGGTATTGCCAGTTCATAAATTATGTGTCCTGGTCAGCGGTCGACACTAAAGATTAACCGGACCCGATTATGCGTTTCGACGGGTAATTCTTTGCCAAAAATTTGGCGTCGCGTGATTTTTCCCTTTTTTTTTCTTTTCCGGTTTCCGGTCAAAGTGAATTACGGTGAAAACGAATCACCCCCTAGAATCTTACGTCGGAATTACGCGCGAGCTAATTGTCAATATTCAATTTTTTGTTTTCGTCATCGTTTACGGCTTAGAATAACAAAATAATACTGAAACACGCAAACGGCGGTGTGCCTACGCATAAAGGCTGTAACGCGAGGACCCGACGCCCGAAATGACTTTTGTTCTATAATTCAATGTTGTTCAGGTTTTCTATTTTTTTCTCTTGTGATTATCGCCGAAACCTTGGCGCCATACGGGTCCTCCATTTTGTATATGAAAAGAATACAATTTAATTATTTGATTCGGTCCGTGCGAAAAGGGTCCGTATCGCTTTAATGTAACAATAAAATCATAAGGCAAAAACAAAATTATTATTAGGCCAATACTCGTGAATAAATACATAATACAAATAAACAATTTACTCTGAGATTGGTGTACTGAGATTACTTCGGGAGTATTGAGATGTCTACATTAATACTCCGGGCCGCGCATTCATTAATTAATTGTTCTATGTTTTAATTTAATTTTGAGTTCTTCGTGAGTTCAAGATTTGATAAGATTTTTTTTTTTGATGTCCACGTAAAACATGTTTTGTTAATAACTCAAATTCCGTTTTTATCTAGATGTTACTATAGTTCAAACAATAAAATACTAAAAATCCACGGTTAACTTGTTTTTGCCGAAAATGGCGTTAACGACAAAAAGTTGTACGAACCGAAACGTTTGAAAATTGTTTTTACAAAAATATCCAAGACGTTTTACGAACATGTTTTAAAACGGACATGCATTGAATCGTTAATTTTCTACGATTATTTCGTAGCTTACGGTAATTTGAATTTGTTTTCAAGGCCTCTGACAAAAAAATATCGATCGATGATTCGCCAATTTTTTCATGAAAATGAATTGTGTAAAAAAATTATTCAACGCGTAACCTTGCAAAATTTCGTTCCGAAATCCTCAACAATAAAACGACCGTCTTTAATCGCATTGTAAAAAAGAACATTCACACGAAATTTAAAATATACAGTCGTAGCGCGAGGCTCGGGAAATTATTACAATTTAAACTTAATACTAAACGAAATTTATTCAGGTCGGTTCTTAGAAAAACATTCGCTCCCTCCGAATCTGAGCCGGTCGTCGTTTGAAAATGCGTACGTAATAATTATGGGTTGCGGATTAAAATGCGAATTTAATTTATTTCTGAATGTTTCACTGATTTCCAAGCACACAATTTCGTTTCATATATCAATGAATTAAAAAATGAAACTTTTATTTTGCATTTTTAGAATTATTGTTTTATTTTTTGACATTTTAAATGCATTTTTTTTTTTTAGGTATTTTAAGGCATTTTTTCTTCTTTTTACAGATTCCATAGTGTTATCGGAAAATTTGATAAAATTTATTTTGATTTCCTCTCAAATGAAAAAAAATTCCTGTTTTTAAAATGTATTATAGCCGGCCGTTTTTATTGTACGCCGGCCGCATTAAAGAAGACGATAAGCTATTTTTATCGATTTATAATGTAGTCGCACTAGGCTATTTGCACTGTTGCGTTTAATAAATTTATACACACCTAATAAAAAAAGTTTTTGTTCGTCAAAAATAATATTTAGGGCATTATTTTAAGGCGTGTTTTTAACGTTTCTGAGATTCTGAATAATGAGGGATTCATATTTGGTTTTACTATGGCGTTTGTTTTTTATTTAATTTTTTTTTTGTCTGTCTATTAACAACTTTTCTTCCAGAAAAATTGCTCCGTATGGGTATAGAGCATGACATCTTTTCTGAAATGTAATTTTCTCTAGTCGGTGCTTTCGGGAGGCGATTTTTTGATTTCCCGGGGAGTTTTCCCAATACACGGGAAAAACAATCGGGAGATATCCAACTCGGCTGCTTTGAAACACGGTCTACTACCCCTACCCGCTTTTAGGTACGAAAATTATCCTATGTATAAATATAAATTTTTTCCGGTAACGACAAGGAATCGAACGAAACGAGTTTCGTAAAACTAGGCGACTTCGGACTTTTTTGAAGTCGCGTCCACGACTATACGGTCCTCCTATTGCTGTGCGTACACATTTCGAACCCGATCGCACACTTCGATGGGCCTTTTTCCACCGGGAATCTCGCTCCAGTTGAACTTTCTTGTAACATTATTGACCTGGTGTCGATACGCTGAAGAGATCGTTTTTCGTTTTTTTTTTTTCCCGTGTTTATAACTGCTCACAATGTTCGGCTGCCGGACAGCCGGACTACACAATAATATCGTACAATATAAATATATTATAATATTCCCGTCTATTATGACAGTATACCGTCTTGTACGGAGTAGTTGTTATTTATTTTATTTTTTTTTCTACTCCGTCGAAACCGTTATGCCGGATCGTAATACGTAGTGCGCGGAAAAAATAATAAGCGACCCCGTTACCCTTCCGCGTCTCGTAACCTAACCGACTTCCGGATAAGAAACGGAAAAAAAAAGTTGGTAAAAAAAAAAAATTTAAAAAAAAAAACGTTACGTACACGCGGGATTGAAAACGCACCGTACAGACGATATTATATTATAATATGTATACGTCCGTACGAATGATAATCTCCGCAGAAGCCGTTAAGACAAAAAAAAAAAAAAAAAAAAGAATAAATAAATATGCCCCGGGCATCGGTGCACGTCTTAATTCGAATCCGTGAGATTTTTTTTTTTTAAAGCAGTAACGGGTCGGGGACGAATAATAATAATAATGATGAAAAAATAGAAGTAAAAAAAAAAAACTATCCGGCTCATCCCCATCCACCGCACGTAATTACGGACCCCCGTGGATAGGCGGCGGCCGGCGAGGGGAAAAACGGTGAGGCGGTGGTATTTAATATGCAAGAGATGTGACGGTATGTAGATGTGTGCGTGCCGTCGCGCGGAAGGGTAAGGTGGCTTTATTTTTTTCGCTTTTTTTTTTTTTTTTTTTGTTGTCGTCGTTTTTTTTTTCTCCCGTTCCGTCTTACCCGCGCAGAACAATAATAATAATCATAATGCGCATCGTCGCGTAGCCGCACGGTTATAATATATTCTAATGATAATGTACACACGCACATGCAATAGGTAGTACGCGTACGTACACACGCATGCCCTCCTGCCCGCGGATTTTTTTTTTTGTTTTCTCTCTACGGTCGTAAAAAATGGGATTTCTTTTTTCGTCCACTCTCGCGCGGCACAGTCACGTACGCGCGTATACAGGAACATGCGGGGTGCAAAAAAAAAAAAAAAAATGAACGTAAAAAAACAATCGCGGGCAACCGGTTGGCCCCGGAGGCTTATGCAAATGCCGCGGGCGCACACAAGTGCCCGGAACGATGGGAACGGAGCCCGCGACTCGAGAGGGTTAACTATGCAAATTACTCCGGTCTCGCGGCTAAACAAAAGGATGCCTTTGCTCTGGGTGCAGTGTGTGTGCGCGTGTTTTTTTTTTATTATTATTTTTTTTTTTTCTAACTACTAATGGTCATGGACCATGGGAGTTTTTTTTTTGTCTTTACTTTCCATTGCACGCACACACAGCGGCAGCGGCAGAAGCACACCTTGTGGCTCGTTTTTTATTTAATTTTTTTTTTCTCTATTCTTTATAGACCCTTTGACGACGCACAGGGGATGCGACGGGTATTACACAACACGTCGTGTATGTTTTTTTTGTCTTAGGATAAATCAGACGCGCGCATAAATTTCGGGCGATTTTTTCACTCGTTTTTATTCGGTTTTTTTTTTTTTTGTTTCTAGATCAAATAAAAAAAAAAAAACGAATAAATGAGAGACCGAGACCGTTAGACGTAACCGATTTTATTTTTTTTTTTTGCTTTGTTTTTTTCATTTCAACCCCGTCATCGTCGTTGTATCATCAACATTACCATACTGCTATAGGTACACGCGTAAATTTGATTGTAATACGCGTAGACTTTGAACAGCTGAACTTGGGTGTTTCGAAAAAAAAAAAAACCCCCGTATCTAAATTCAAATACATTGAGGTATTGAATTCGGTTTTCGTGTCGAATCGGACTGCCGACGAAATAAAAAAAAGTTTTGAAATATATTAACGA